AAATTTTACTTTGTCTTCATGTTTGACAGATATTTTCACCGAGTTTGCCACTGTGGGCTGACAGTGTTTCTCAGTTCCCGGAGGCCGCTGCATTGTCCTGCAGGCTGTGAGCTCTCCGAGGAGCAGTTGGCTGTGCTTCCTCTTTGTCTTTCCTGTACAGAGTGCTTCTTTTCTCCCTGCTGCCTGATTTCGACTATTCTCCTTTTAAAATTGTAGGCAACTTAGTATAACATGCCAAGAGAAGTGTGTGTGCATGTATGCGTGTGTATGAATGTGTGTGCCACGTGTGGTTTATCTGCACATGTGTGGTATGTGCATGTGTGTGACTGCATAATGTGTGGTGTGTGCGTGTTTGCAGTATTGCATGTGTGTATGAAATGTCTGCGTGTGTGTAGTGTGTACATGTGTGTGAGATGAGTAGTGTGATGAGTGTGTGATTGGGTGCGTGTGCATGTGTGTGCGCATGTGTGTGGGGTGTGATGGGTATGTGTGTGTGTGATGAGTGTGGTGTGATGAGTGTGTGTGGCTGTGTGTGAGATGAGTGTGGTGTGATGAGTGTGGTGTGTGTGAGGTGAGTGTGTGTGATGAGTGTGTATGGCTGTGGGTCAGGTGAGTGTGTGTGTGAGGTGAGTGTGGTGTGATAGAGTGTGTGGCTGTGTGTGAGGTGAGTGTGGAGTGATGGGTGTGTGTGGCTGTGTGTGAGGTGAGTGTGTGTGATGAGTGTGGTGTATGTGAGGTGAGTGTGTGTGATGAGTGTGTATGGCTGTGGGTCAGGTGAGTGTGTGTGTGAGATGAGTGGTATGATAGAGTGTGTGGCTGTGGGTGAGGTGAGTGTGGTGTGATGAGTGTGGTGTGTGTGTGAGATAAGTGTGGTGTGATGGGTGTGTGTGGCTGTGGGTGAGGTGAGTGTGCTGTGATGAGTGTGTATGGCTGTGGGTCAGGTGAGTGTGGTGTGTGTGAGATGAGTGGTGTGATGGGTGTGTGTGGCTGTGGGTGAGTGTGGTGTGTGTGTGTGAGATAAGTGTGGTGTGATGAGTGTGTGTGGCTATGGGTGAGGTGTGTGGTGTGTGTGAGATAAGTGTGGTGTGATGAGTGTGTGTGGCTGTGGGTGAGGTGAGTGTGGTCTGTGTGTGTGTGAGATGAGTGTGGTGTGATGAGTGTGTGTGGCTGTGGCTGAGGTGAGTGTGGTGTGATGAGTGTGTGTGGCTGTGGGTGAAGTGAGTGTGGTGAGGTGAGTGTGTATGGCTGTGGGTGAAGTGAGTGTGGTGTGATGAGTGTGTGTGGCTGTGGGTCGGGTGAGTGTGGGGTGTGTGTGTGTGAAATGAGTGTGGTGAGGTGAGTGTGTGTGGCTGTGTGTGAGGTGAGTGTGTGTGGCTGTGGGTGAAGTGAGTGTGGTGAGGTGATTGTGTGTGTGTGTGAGGTGAGTGGTGTGTGTGTGTGAGATAAGTGTGGTGAGTGTGTGTGGCTGTGGGTCAGGTGAGTGTGGTGTGTGTGTGAGATAAGTGTGGTGAGGTGTGTGTGTGTGTGAGGTGAGTGTGGTGTGTGTGTGTGAGATAAGTGTGGTGAGGTGTGTGTGAGATGAGTGTGGTGTGTGTGTGAGATAAGTGTGGTGTGATGGGTGTGTGTGGCTGTGTGTGAGGTGAGTGTGTGTGTGATGAGTGTGTGTGGCTGTGGGTCAGGTGAGTGTGGTGTGTGTGTGTGAGATAAGTGTGGTGAGGTGAGTGTGGTGTGATATGTGTGAAATGAGTGTGGTGTGATGGGTGTGTGTGGCTGTGGGTGAGGTGAGTGTGGTGTGTGTGTGTGTGAGATGAGTGTGGTGTGATGAGAGTGTGTGGCTGTGGGTGAGGTGAGTGTGGTGTGGTGTGTGTGAGGCGAGTATGGTGTGATATGTGTGAAATGAGTGTGGTGTGATGGGTGTGTGTGGCTGTGTGTGAGGTGAGTGTGGTGTGATATGTGTGAAATGAGTGTGGTGTGATGGGTGTGTGTGGCTGTGGGTGAGGTGAGTGTGGTGTGTGTGTGTGTGAGATGAGTGTGGTGTGATGAGAGTGTGTGGCTGTGGGTGAGGTGAGTGTGGTGTGGTGTGTGTGAGGCGAGTATGGTGTGATATGTGTGAAATGAGTGTGGTGTGATGGGTGTGTGTGGCTGTGTGTGAGGTGAGTGTGGTGTGATATGTGTGAAATGAGTGTGGTGTGATGGGTGTGTGTGGCTGTGTGTGAGTGTGGTGTGATGGATGTGTGTGTGTGAGGTGAGTGTGGTGTGATGGGTGTGTGCATGTGTGTGAGGTGAGTGTGTGTGTGATGAGTGTGGGTGGCTGTGTGTGAGGTGAGTGTGGTGAGGTGTGTGTGTGTGTGAGGTGAGTGTGGTGTGATGAGTGTGTGTGGCTGTGTGTGAGGTGAGTGTGGTGAGGTGTGTGTGTGTGTGAGGTGAGTGTGGTGTGATGAGTGTGTGTGGCTGTGGCTGAGGTGAGTGTGGTGTGTGTGTGTGTGGCTGTGTGTGAGGTGAGTGTGGTGAGGTGAGTGTGTGTGGCTGTGTGTGAGGTGAGTGTGGTGTGTGTGTGTGTGAGGTGAGTGTGGTGTGATGAGTGTGTGTGGCTGTGGCTGAGGTGAGTGTGGTGTGATGAGTGTGTGTGGCTGTGGCTGAGGTGAGTGTGGTGTGATGAGTGTGTGTGGCTGTGTGTGAGGTGAGTGTGGTGAGGTGAGTGTGTGTGGCTGTGTGTGAGGTGAGTGTGGTGTGTGTGTGTGGTTGCCCCTGCTCACTGTCCTCTGAGGCGTGGAGCTGTAGTCAGACCGTCCCTCTGATGGTCCTCACCCACCACCACCACGTGTTTCCTGCCCCTGCTTGGCTCCTCTGCTGTGACAGGGGACGTGTGTGGGAGCGCGCGAGGCCGTGGTGTTGGCTCCGACGTTTCTGGTGCTCTTGGCCCCTCTGTGCCTCAGTTGTGTTGCGGTGGGCCCGTGCTCGGGATGACCACTGCTATCTTGGCCGTGCAGCACCAGCCGGCCCCTGGAGAAACCGCGTGAGGGTTCGTGTCTGGTTCCGTCCCTTCTGCCTCTGCTGACCTCCCCTCACTGCGTGTGTGTTCCACGCTTCCACTGTGGCCCTCAGCCTGTGGCCGCCGCTGTGGCTGCCTGGCAGTTCCAGCAGGCAGGGCGTCCCCGTCTGGCTCTGCTCGCCCCCTCTAGACCCCGGCTGCTCGCCTTCTCCCTTGCGTGCTGGATGTTCCATTGCGTGTCAGACATCACGTGTCAGCGCGTGGCACAGGCTGAGGGACTTGTGTTCACGCCTTGAAACGAGCGCACGTCTCTGCTCTGCCGTGGTGCGGGCGTGAGTCCGAGGTGGCCTGGCGAGGGCTGTGTGGCCGCTGTGGAGGTCAGTCTCCCCCGAGCTGGCTGCGGTCGCCTGCTCTTGGCCTGGGGGCTGGGGGCCGCTCGGCCCTCCTGAGTCCCTTGCACGGCACAGATGAGTTCTGCAGCCCCCCCCCCCCCCCCGGGCTGTCTTGACTTTACACGCAGGTGCCGTGTGCCTGGGTCCCAGGGGTGACGTCCACTCAGCATCCCTGCCGCCCAGCCTCGGCCTTTCTGTCTGTGACTGATGTTGAGTCGGGGCGCTTGCCCCCTCCCAGCACTTGGTCGTGGGGAGGAACCCCTAAGAAAGAGGCGGGAAATGGTGCCTTCACGCCTGCCCCGGATCCATGGGCTGTGGCTTGTGTTCTGGGAAGAACCAAGCGTTCTGCAGGCTTAACGCTCCCGAGAGTGGGAGGGGCTGTGCACCTGGCCAGTGCTTCCTCGCACGTGCCAGGGCCGGGGGGAGCGTGCCGCCCACGCCCGGCTTTTGTGACTCACTGATGGCTTTGTTCGCACCTGTGTGTGGCAGCTCCTCTTTGCCGCCCCAGGCCAAGCGTGAGAAATGGGCCCTGTTTCCTTTCTCTGGGCCTGACTTGGGATCCAGCCCAGCCCGCACGGGGACCCCACTGCCTGAGCTTCCTGGCGGCCGCAGGAAGGCTGGGATTTTGGATTCTGTATTTGTAGAGCATTTTCCGAAAAGGGCTCTGAGCAGAAGAGAAGCGGAGACCCGTACGCCCAAGGCCCCGGCAAGCTGTTTGGTATCCGCAGCCCGTGAAGTCCAGCAGCGCGCGTGTTCCGCCGGCTGGTTTCCTCACAGCGTGCTGCCTCCGCAAGTGCGGTGTTGTGACCTCGTGCTCAGCAGAGCTGTTGTCCGTGAAGTCCCCGAAAGCCTGGGCTGAGGGCGGCCTTCCCCAGAGCCGGCCCGCGATGGCCCCCACCGTGCACCCACCCCCTGGGCTTGCCTGGTAGGACAAGCGCCATGCTAGGGTCACAGGATCCGCAGGAAGGACCAGTCCAAGGCAGGGCTTTGGCGCGGTGGCTCAGACGTCCCTGGGACACCCACATCGCGCATCCGAGTGCCTGGGTTCAAGCCCCAGCTCCCTCCTGACTCGGCTTCCTGCTAATGCACACCCTGGGAGGTCCCAGGCCACGGCTCCAGTGGTTGGGTCCCTGCCACCCACCTGGGCGGCCCCGTGGGGTTCCCCGCCCGTCTCAGCCATTGCAGGCTCTCGGGGAATGCACTAGAGATGGGAGCTTTCTCGGCTTCTCATTCTAACTCTTGCCGACGCAGACCCCGGGAGGCAGCAGAGCTGGCTCTGGACTGTCTCTTCACATGGATCGAGTCCCTGGCCTGCCCCATCTGTAGGCATGTGGGAGTGCACCGTCGTGTGTGTCTGCCTCTCCAATTAAAGCACGCTCAGGTCCCCACGTGGCGCACACCGCCCGGTTTCCCCGAGCCGGGTGCTGCCCGTGCCGGGCTGGGGCTCCGCATCACTCAGGGGTCTCAGGTGGCCTCAGCTTCTGCAGCTGAACTTTGCACACACCCCCCACCCGAATGCCCTGGGGCCACTCTGGTCACATGTATAACCGACTGCTCGTGGTTTCAAGTCTTGGGTTCGAGCCCAGATTTCCTTTACTTTGTTGTTGGACCAGCTATGCATTTTAAAAACATCTTTATTACGCTTTACTCAGAACTGCTACAGAATCTTTGACAGTTTCAACATTGGCAAACAAAACAAGGACATCGCCTCCTCCAAGTCGCTCAGCTGATCTCCACGGAGCTGACGGTCATGGCGGCAGCTGCCTAGCTCTGCGCCTGCCGGTGTCTGCCTGAGCCAGCACAGAAAACGGGAGAAAACACCGTGACGTAAGACCAGCCGCCCCCTCCCTGCTGCCCCCCACAGCACTGCCGCACATGTCACGGCAACTGGAGCCAGAAACGTCACAGAAGCTCCTCCGTCACGGGCACGGCCCCTGCCCCCCCCCCCCCACCTCCCTGGGGTGGGCAGGGGTAGGCGCAGGTGAGCTCGAGGGTGCCCGAGGCTGCAGGAAGTCCACCGTGAGGCCGAGGGTCCTGCCAGGGCCGCGCGCCGTCTCCCGCGAGGCCAGGGTTGGATGCCTCCGTCATCAAGCCACACGGCATGGGGCAAGAGGGGAGACAGGGAGGGAGCGGAACTGTGTGACGAGGAAAGGTGTTCGGGTCTTGTACAAGAGAACCAGAAACCAGATGATGCGACTTCCCTTGCGCCAGGTCCATGAAGCCCCCGCCCCCCGCAAGGCTGGCTCTGCCCCGCTGACAGAAGCTTTGTGCGTTAGTTTAGGAAGCTTGAGGTACACCCCGAGATCTTAAGACGCAACAGGCAAACATCAGGACACAAAACCCAGCAGGTATGAGGAAACAGCCCGACCACGTCCACAGAAACGGCCTGCGGGAGGCGCTCAGACTCCGCGTGCCTCGGGGATCCTGATGGCGACCACACGATGGCACGGGGATCTGGCAGCATCACAGCACGTGGTCACCCCCGCCCCCCGTGCTGCCCCTCCGGCGCCCACAGCGCAGGTGGGCCTGCAGCCGCCTCACCTCCGGCAGACAGCTGTGGCTTGCGGGAGTCCTTGGCAGCCCCCACGTGGGCGTTCTCTCCAGTGCTGGCCTCTTCAGCGCAGAACACGGGGAAAACAGGAAGGTTACTGATTACAGGCGTGCGAAGATTTCGGCCGTCGTGAAGCATTACCCTGAGATGCTAAGACATCGTCAGGTCTCACTTGCAAACGTGTTCGCAAAGTCTGCGTCAGTCACCCGGCCACTGCCACGGATGTTCACTCCGGTTCTGAGGATTTACCTCGGAGACGCTTCGGCAGCCACAGGAGAACACCTGGGCACCAGGGTGTCCACTGCAGCGAGCGGAGGGAGGGCTGCGCAGTCCGCACGTGCCCAGCCCTGCGGGCCCCAGCACCCGGTGCTGGTGCTTGACTGCGAAGAGCACCCCTCCAATAAATGCAGCCCAACCCAGGCAGAACAGGGAGCCCCCGGAGAGCCCAGGACATCTGTGGGACCAGGAAGTCCGGCGGCGCCTCAGAGATGGACACGTCGGGGTATGAGAGAGCCGTGCAGAGGGAGCCCCGGCCCTGCTGGGCCCCCGGCAGCGGGACAGATAACCACGTTCATGTGTGCTGACCCTGGACTACATGCAGAGCCACGTGGCCACGTGCTTGGCAATGCTGAGTGAAGAAGTGGGTGGGGGAGGGGCAGCACCGCAGAATCGGGTGAATGAGTCTGTGAGGAGAGGCAGAGGAGTTGCCATGTGGCAAACACTGGGATACCCACAGGCAACCGGCAGACGCCAGGCAGTGGGACGGGTTCGGGGCAGTGTGAGGTGTTAATGCAAAGTGGAGTCACAGCTGAGCTTCACCCTGAAATACCTGGCTCAGGCCTCCCGAGCCCCAGAGGCTGCTCACGACGGAGGCTGTGGGGTGACTGAGCGCAGAGTTCCTGGCCCCCGGAGCTGCTGGGGGCTGGGACGAGCGTTTAATCCACTCTCCCCCTCACCCGACACAGCGTGGGAGCTGTGACCACACCGGGGTGTTCCACACCTGTGTCATGTGACACCTCCCCCTTTCTGGTTCACAACCCTCGGGACAGAGAAGACGTGGCACCCTGTGCCCTGTGGGGTTCCCGCGTCTCCCCCTGGGCCCCTGCACACGGGAGCTGTGACCACACCGGGATGTCCACACCTGTGTCATGTGACACGTGCCCCCCTTTCTGGTTCTTAACCCTCGGGACAGAGAAGACGTGGCACCCTGTGCCCTGTGGGATTCCCGCGTGTCCCCCTGGGCCCCTGCACGCTGGTCTTTTCCCCAGCAAACTCATCCCTCTCTTGGGGAACCCCTGGGGGACACTCTGGCCCCCCTGCCCCCAGGGAGAAGTGACTCAGCCTAGTCTCAGGGCAGGGGCTGGCATTGTGGCACCTACCAGAGGCCTTTCTGCCAAGCTCCAGGCTGTGGTTTCCCCAAAGCTGGAGACCTCGGGCCCTTTCCCTTCCCAAGGGAGACGCTTCCGTCTGCGTCTGCACTGCCTCCCCCCCCCGACAGCCCCCTGGGGACCCTGGGCAGGGCCGCCCCTCCCTCCCGGGTGTGTTTACCGTTGTTGGAGTTTCTGTCCTCATTGCCAGAAGAGAACTGTATGTGCTCTAATAATTCATGGTAATTCTCGGAGCTGTCAGCCTGGTAATTCTCATCGATTCCAGAGTCTTCAGTGGAGAACATGGAAGAGATGGGAGGGCGTCTCATCACACACGTGGGAACTCTTCTGGCCGGAGTGCGGCAGGTGGGACGATGTCGGCAGCTCGGGTTGTGTTTGGACAAGTGCACGGGGCAGACGCAGTCCACGGTTGGGGGACTGTCCCTCACGCCACTGCCGAGCCCCGCTGCCCGTCGTGGGGAACCGAGAGGGGCCAGCCCTGACCCAGCTGTGGGCTCGGACTGGGGCTTGGGGCTGTTGGGGTTGTGTGAGGTCACGGGGGTCTCATGATTGAAGACCGCTGTGGCTCCTGAGAAGAGGGAGAGAGCCCGTCTCGCCCACCACGTGATAGCCTGTTCATACATTACACAGCCTCGGGTGTTTCCTCGCGACGCCCGATGCAGAAAGCCACGCAGGAGTCTGGCCTCACCTGACCACCTTGCGTCCAGTGGTCTGGGCACATCTAGGAGCTGGGGGGATGCCTGGGGGCGGGGTGTCAGGATGCTGAGCCACCTCCTGAGGAGTGCCCGCCCCTGTGCCTCATGGGATTGCTGGCCCGGCCCCCTCCCCCACCCTGGCGGCTGCCCGGGGTCTGCGTGCTGCCTGATTCACCTGTACGTTTCTGACCAGGTGAAGCTGCACTCGGGAGAGTGCGCTGCATGTGCCCGCCCCGTCTCAGTGGCCCGGGGTGCAGCCCGGTTACAGCTCAGTCCCGCCTCCCTTCAAGTGGGGTAACAGCAGCCGCTCTGCTCCCCAAAGCCTCCAGAGGGCGCCACGCGAGGTGCACGCTGGGCGTGGCCACCGTCCCTGCACCTGTCCCTCGGGGGCTACCCCATGTGCAGCCGAGCACAACGTGCTGGCGTGTGCACACTGGGGACCACCCCGGAGTGGACAGGGAACCGCCCTGCCACTCTGGGGTCCCTGCCTCCGTCCCCGCAGAAGTGGTGTGTAGTTCTTTCTTCCACGTCACCGCGTGCCTTTGTCTCAGGCACAGCTGGTCTCAGTGTGCTAAGATAGCAGGGCCGGGCCTGTCCCACAGACTCCCAGGGGCGCGTGCGACCGCGGGGCGGGAAGAGGTGTACTTGGGGTGGGAAGAGGTGTACGTGGGGCAGGAAGAGGTGTACTTGGGGCAGGAAGAGGTGTATGTGGGGCGGAAGTGGTGTACGTGGGCCGGGAGCAGTGTACGTGGGCTGGGAGCGCTGTACATGGGACGGATGCGCTGTACGTGGGGTGGACACGTGGTACATGGGGTGGACACGTGGTACATGGGGTGGACATGTGGTACATGGGGTGGACATGTGGTACATGGGGTGGACACGTGGTACATGGGGTGGACATGTGGTACATGGGGTGGACACGTGGTACGTGGGCGGGAGCGCTGTACGTGGGGTGGATGCGCTATACGTGGGGTGGACACGTGGTACGTGGGCGGGAGCGCTGTATGTGGGCGGGAGCACTGTACGTGGGGTAGACACGTGGTACATGGGGCGGACGCGCTGTATGTGGCCGGGAGCGCTGCACTTGCTTTTCTCCTGGACCGTCTTCATGGGCACTGTCGCCGCGGTGGTTTGCGTTTCAGCCGACTTTGTTTTATTCGGATCCAAAATCTCCTGGACGAGAATCTCATCTGGGAAAAGCACACGAGAGCATAGGGAAGCCCTGGCCACAGGACCACAGGACCCCCGCCCCGCTGGCCGCCCGTGCCTGGGGCCGTCTGTGCACCCTGTGGGTGCAGAACAGGAGCCCCTGCCCGGGGGGCCTGAGCTGGGCTGGGCTGGCCCTGCCCTGAATTCCTGCAGAAACACCAAAACCGTCTGGAAATCCTGATGGCAAACATAAGCCCCCCCCCCCCAAAAAAAAAACAAACCCATCAGGGGCCGACCAGTCCTGGGGCACTGTCCCTGGGGGGCTCTGGCCACTGTGGCCACGCGCCACGACGTGGCTGCCCCAGACTGCAGCGTTCTCTCAGTGCCAGGTACACGCTGCACGGTGAAGATTCGGTGTGATAACAAGACTGAAACTACCCTGGAGCACGGCTCCCATCCTGGGTTGCAGTAACGGCGGCTGTGAAGCGCCTTTCTCCCGTCTCGCACTGCCGTGGCCGTGGAGCGTGTGGGGCCGCATCTGTGGCTTGCCTCGTGTTGACCCGCGACCCTCAGCCTCCCTGGGAGCTCTCAGGAAACACTCAGGCCCACCAAAGCAGCAGTCCAGCTTGGGGCAGAGGCGGGGTCAGTCCTGCCCCCTGGGGGTGGAAAGCTGGGGAGGCCGGGGCTCTGCCTGGGTCCTCGTGGGTCCTGCTCTCCGGCCAGGGATGCAGATCGGACTCAGGAGGTCTGGGTGGGGCCTGGGCCCAGGTGGTTCTAGCAAGCTCTGGGTGCCCCTGCTGGCCCCTGGACCTTGCTGGGGGAAGCGAGGCCCCAGACGCTGGCCAGGGACTCCTGACCTAAAATTCTACTTCATTCTGTGGGTGTCTAACTCTCAGAGGCGGGCGCGGAGGCCGTGGGCTGTGCCAGCGCGGTTCTGGCCCCACACCAAGCCAGTAATCCACCGAGGGCAGCTCATGCCAGGTCATTTGGGGGATGCCGCTGAGAAGCCCCGCCCTCTGCAGTGAAACCAGACGTGTGACACAAAGGGTTCCTTACCGAATACTGTGGCCACGTCGTCATCCAGATTTTTAAACGTTGGTGACATTTCAGCTCTTAGATCTGGGGAAAATAAAACCCTAGTTCAGCAGTGTGCGTGGACCGGCGCCGACTTCTCTGCCCAGGACCCGGTTTGCAGGATCCTCCCGGCCTGCTCTCCTGGAAGGAGCCCTGCGCGGGCCCTGTCCCTCCCGTGTGTGCCGAGATGGCCCAGGACTGTCCCCTGGGACTGGGGTTTCTCATCTGGAGTCAGTGGGGAAGGTGCCCTTGCCCGCGTGGCCCTGAGGACCGAGCCCATGAGGCACCTGCATGCTTGGAGCTGAGACCCTGCCGCCTGGTGTCCGGGGGCCGACCCGGCGGGGGGGGGGCAGAAAATGCCCCAGTTCCCGGGACGGCGGGGCTCGTCCACTGCTGTGAGCGTGTGGGGGAGGCGGGACACAGCTCCCCTGTAGGAGCCACGCTTCCGCCTCCTCTGTGAGCCCTGGAGTCCTTCCCGTGGAGGCGTCTCGGGTTCCTGCTGGGGTCACCTGGACGGGGGGACTTGGCTGAGCCCTCAGAGACGCCCGCTGACCTCTCACTAGGGACTTGTGCCCGGCCAGTCAAACGTGTTCTCTGTCTCGCTCAGGAGCCCGGGTATAAAGCCCCGGCCCTCCCCTCGTGGCGTGCTGAGCTGCCCGTGGCCTGGGGCTGCCTGGCCCCTGGTCCCCGAGTGCCCAGGACACTTGCTGACCCCCGAGGGCGCCGACTCGTCTGTCCCAGGACGGCGCCTGAGTGATCTGAAAGCTCAGAGGGGTGATTCGGGGATGGAAAAGGTGTGAGCCACGTGATGCCACGTGTGGCTCCGTGTGTGGGTGGGGACCCAGAGAGGCAGTCCGGGTGCCCCGTGTGCAGATGAGCCGGGGAGTCGCGTGGGCAAACACGTCCGTGTCCAGCAGCGGCTGATCTGCGGCTCCGCTGCTTCAGGACAGGGACAGGGGCCGCCGTGCCGAGCGCAGGCCGCTGTGTGGCAGCGACGCCGAGCCAGCCCGGCGCCCTCCTCGGCAGCACCCACCACCCGCTTCCTGGGTTCTGAACTTCGCGACTTTCTTTGTTAGAGGCCGCAGTACCTCGGGTCCTGGTCCTGGGTCAGCTGTCCCCTGCGGGGTGGGGGGGTGGGGGGCATGCCCGGCCCCTCCCAGGATGGCTGGGCGGAGCCTGCGCACCTTCCCTCCCTGAGCGCACAGAGCTCTGGGAGAGTCTGAAGTTGCAGCACTAAACCAGTGACAAAGCGGATTTCCAAATGGCTTTAATGACGGACAATCTGCATCCCAATGGGCTCATCTGCACCGGCGCTGAGAACAATGCGGGAGACGGGAGAGGTCTGCCGGCGCTGACAATGGCTTCCCAGTGTGCTGACCTCGTGCAGGAGACGCAAGTACAGTTCTCCTTGGACGAGACATTAATGAGTCATTAAGAATGGGGACAGCTGCGCGTGCAGCACTTTGTTAAAAATATCCTTTTCACTCGTGTCTGTGCCGTGATTATAATGGAGGCCTCGTGCCAGTCAGCAACAGGCATGTGAGGCAGGGAGCTCGTGTTTGCGGGTCCTGCGTCTGCGGGGAGTGGCGTCCGTGTGTCCGTGTGTCCTGTGTTTGCGGGGAGTGGCGTCCGTGTGTCCGTGTGCCCTGCGTTTGCGGGGAGCAGCGTCCGTGTGTCCTGTGTTTGCAGGGAGCGGTGTCCGTGTGTCCTGTGTTTGCGGGAAGCGGTGTCCGTGTGTCCATGTGTCCTGTGTTTGCGGGGAGTGGTGTCCGTGTGTCCTGCGTTTGCGGGAAGTGGTGTCCGTGTGTCCTGTGTTTGCGGGGAGTGGCGTCCGTGTGTCTGTGTGTCCTGTGTTTGCGGGGAGTGGTGTCCGTGTGTCCGTGTGTCCTGCGTTTGCGGGAAGCAGTGTCCGTGTGTCCTGTGTTTGCGGGGAGTGGCGTCCGTGTGTCCGTATGTCCTGCGTTTGCGGGGAGTGGTGTCCGTGTGTCCGTGTGTTTGTGGGGAGCACTGAGGGGGCCGCTTCACCGAGCCGCTCCCGCTGTCACCTCTCGCTGAGGCTTGTGGCTCAGAGCCGCCCTCAGCCACGTAAGTGAGACCGTGCCTGTCTCACCCACGGGCAGCCTGCGCACTGACCTCCATGGAGCGTCCGCTGTCGAGTGCTGGGATTTTGCTGGGGTTCACTGGGAGAAATCGGACTGAATCCCCCTCCATCGCCAGGACCATGTCGGCAGCTCCTTCCTCCATGCCTGGGTGTCCCAGGATTCCACACGTGGGCGAGCCATGCCATGTGGTCAGGTGCCTTGGCCTTTCCACGTGTGTGAGAGCCGTGCCATGTGGGCAGGCGCCCGGCATCTCCACGTGTGCAAGAGCCGTGCCACATTGCAGGTGCCCGGCATCTCCTCACGCAGGAGAGCCACGCCCCGTGTTCCGGACAGCCCTGGGGCAGTGCCCGGAGCGGAGCGGGGAAGCCGGCCTTCACCCTGGGCTGCAGCTCTCCCCTCCTTGGTCTCTCCAGCTGATCGTCTGGGCAGAGTCGCTGGAGCTGCGAGCCCAGCTCGTGCCGTGTCGGCGTGGGCCCCCTAGCCAACGTGTGCCGAGCAGCTCCTGGAGGGGCACACGTGGGGGCCGGCAAGCACGGGCTGTGGGATGGCACGGCGTCGTCTGCCCCACAGAGCTCCCCGCCCCCGGGGCCTCAGGCCGGCGCTGCCTTAGCACCGGGTAACTGGGTTTCTGCAGGGTCTGGGGGCTGGAGCTGCTGCCTTCCCCCAGGACGTGGACAGGCCCTGCCCCACGCAGACGTGAGGCCAGGCGGGACCATGGGTGTTGCCGTGAGCAGGAGGGGGTGCCTGCCTCTCTCTCCCTCTCTCCGGAGCGGCCCGAGGGCTGTGCAGGTTCCAGGGTTCCTGAGCTTTAGCTGTGGGGAGGGGGGCCAGCAGGTGGCCTGAACCCCTTCCTGGAGAGGAGGCCGGGCAGGGAGAGCCCGCCCAGCCTCTGGGCCTTCTGCTCTGTCTGCAGTTGCGAGCCCCAGTCCTCAACTGGGGAGAGGTCAGACAAAGGCACGCGGGGCCCGCTTGGGTCCTGAGCCCGGCAGGCCACCGGCAGAGGGCCAGCTGGCACTGGGGTACAAGTTTGACACGACTGGGCGTGACAAAGGAGAGTGATTGGCCCACAGTAAGAGGGAAAAAAGAGCAGAAAGCCTCAGTGAACGAGCAAGTTCACGTGTATAGTTGTGTCTGTCGTTATTATATAGTTATGTGTAGTCATTATCCAGCTGTGTAGCTCCCAGATATAAAGGGCCATGAGAGGAGCAGGACCTCGTGGTCCAGGCAGGCGAGGCCGCACGGGGCTGCCTTTCCCTCCCGCCTTCCCCGCGGGCGCTGCAGCGCGCAGCCTGCTCTGGGCTCTCGGTGTGCTCCTCCTAAGAGCTCGCCATGGCTTCTCTTCACTGTTGCGCTGCCCGCCGTGGAAGCCAGCATTTCCTGTGGCTCTCGCCGCGTGTCTTCTGTGCCTCGTGTTTTCGATTGCTTAGGAAAACCGAGTCTTGCCGATTCTGAAGACACCAAGGATGTTCGTCTTAGCCTCCGCGTTGCCTCCTGTTTGCGGCTTGGGAAGCCTCTTCTCATTCTGGTCGCACCGGCAACCTGAGCGCTGTTCCTAGGCGGCTCTGCCCCCCGACAAGCACGCCAGCCCGGACGCTTTTACAGCTTCCCAAGCCGACTTCGGAACGAGGGGTTTCTGGCCCAAACCTTGAGTTTTCCCAGAGCCCCTGGGGGGTCTCGAGGGCTGAGGAGGCCGGGCGGAGCTGGTTGCCTTGTTGATGTGTGAGGCGGCGTGGAGGTAGGGGGCGGTGGCCCCGTCCATGCTGCGGTCGCACGGGTTTTCGGACACTGCGTGAAGCTCCTAGAACTTGGGGCGTGCCCGAGCCTGCAGGATGGCTCCTGGTAACCGTGTTGTCGCTGCCTTGAACTGCGGCGTGTCCCAGCCCCCAGCCCTCGTGTCGACTGTGCTCCAGTGAGCTCTCTGCAGACCCGGGGCCTCGCGGGGAAGGTCCCCTGCCAGTTCCAGGCGGCGGTGGCTTCTCCTCTGACGCCGTCCTGAACGCAGTGCCAGGCAGGCTGCTGGAACCTGGCAGGCGCACCGGAGTCCGGCCTTCTGATGAGCTAGGCTCACACGCCGGGGCTTTGGGAGACATCCTGACCGCAGGGGGAAGCTGATGGGTGCACAGACCGCTGGCCCGAGACCACGCGAACGAGAACGCATTGCAGGAGGCGCAGTGAACTGATGGCGATGGTTAGAATTTTCTGAGTTTTTGTTGGAAACGTTGCTGGCTCTTTAATAGTTTCAGGATTCAGACACCCCCGCCCCCCTTCCCTGCTCTTTTCTCTTAAGCTGTGTGAAACTTACAGCAATTTGGTAATTATGCTGTTAGAAGCAGAAGAGACATTTGTATTTTCTCGCCAGCCGATTCCTCCAGAATTTGAAAATTCTTATTTTCGTGGCCACGTAATCATTTGCATGAGTTCCCTAAGAATCCATCCTCCAGCTGGGCACTCCTGGAGGCCTTGGCTGTGTACCCAGGCTAGGGCCACAACCAGCAGGTGTGCAGCGCCAGACTCGGGCCGGCAGAGTGGGTTTGATTTGGCAGGAACGGTGCTGGGGCCTGCTGGGCAGCACCGTCTTCCGGGGCAGTAGGGAGTCGCTTCCCGGGGAGCCTGGCTCCTGGGGGCCCTGGGCCTCGGGGTGGGGGGGGTGTCTGCAGGCTGACCGGGGTCGCCGAGGAGAAGCTGCGGCCGAGCAGCCTGGAACCTGGCCGCAGCTTCTGGGACCGGGGACCGAGCGCCAAGCAGGGTGGCCCCGCCCGGGGGTGCTGGGAGCCCTGGGAGACGACACTGCACAGGGGCAGCGTGCACTGAGGGTCGGCCCCCGTGCACACGGCAGGAGGGCACCACACTCAGCATGCCCGGCCCAGCCCACTGCACACCTGGGCACCCCCCCCATAGTGCGTCACCTCCTCCTCCTCACCCTGACACCTCCTCACCTCCTCCTCCTCACCCCCCAGGCCTCCTCACCTCCTCCTCCTCACCCTGACACCTCCTCACCCACCAGGCCTCCTCACCTCCTCCTCCTCCTGACACCTCTCACCTCCTCCTCCTCACCCTGACACCTCCTCACCTCCTCCTCCTCACCCCCCAGGCCTCCTCACCTCCTCCTCCTCACCCTGACACCTCCTCACCCACCAGGCCTCCTCACCTCCTCCTCCTCCTGACACCTCTCACCTCCTCCTCCTCACCCTGACACCTCCTCACCTCCTCCTCCTCACCCCCCAGGCCTCCTCACCTCCTCCTCCTGACACCTCTCACCTCCTCCTCCTCACCCCACCCCAGGCCTCCTCACCTCCTCCTCCTCACCTCCTCCTCCTCACTGTGATACCTCCTCACCTCCTCCTCCTCACCTTGACACCTCTTCACCTCCTCCTCCTCACTCTGAAGTCTCCTCACCTCCTCCTCCTCACCCCACCCCAGGCCTCCTCACCTCCTCCTCCTCACCCCCCAGGCCTCCTCACCTCCTCCTCCTCACCCCACCCCAGGCCTCCTCACCTCCTCCTCCTCACCGTGACACCTCCTCACCACCTCCTCCTCACCACCCAGGCCTCCTCACCTCCTCCTCCTCACCCCCAGGCCTCCTCATCTCCTCCTCCTCACCGTGACACCTCCTCACCTCCTCCTCCTCACCCTGACACCTCTTCACCTCCTCCTCCTCACTCTGAAGCCTCCTCACCTCCTCCTCCTCACTGTGACACCTCCTCACCTCCTCCTCCTCACCTCCCTAGCCTCCTCACCTCCTCCTCCTCACCAACCAGGCCTCCTCACCTCCTCCTCCTCACCGTGACACCTCCTCACCTCCTCCTCCTCACCCCCAGGCCTCCTCACCTCCTCCTCCTCACCCTGACACCTCATCACCTCCTCCTCCTCACCCCCAGGCCTCCTCACCTCCTCCTCACCCTGACACCTCCTCACCTCCTCCTCACCCTGACACCTCCTCACCTCCTCCTCCTCACCCTGACATATCCTCACCTCCTCCTCACCAACCCCAGGCCTCATCACCTCCTCCTCCTCATCCTGATACTTCATCACCTCCTTCTCACACTCCTGGGCTTCACCTCCTCCTCCTCACCCCACCCCAGGCCTCCTCACCTCCTCCTCCTCACCCTGATGCCTCATCACCTCCTCCTCCTTACCCCCCCCCGGTTTCATCACCTCCTCCTCCTCACCCTGACGCCTCCTCACCTTCTCCTCCTTACCCCCCCCAGGCTTCATCACCTCCTCCTCCTCACCCTCCAGGCCTCCTCACCTCCTCCTCACCCTGACACTTCCTCACCTCCTCCTCCTCACCGTGATACCTCCTCACCTCCTCCTCCTCACCCGCCAGGCCTCCTCACCTCCTCCTCCTCACCCTGACGCCTCATCACCTCCTCCTCCTCCTCACCCCACCCCGGGCCTCCTCACCTCCTCCTCCTCACCCTGACGCCTCATCACCTCCTCCTCCTTACCCCCCCAGGCCTCCTCACCTCCTCCTCACCCTGATACCTCCTCACCTCCTCCTCCTCACCCCCCAGGCCTCCTCACCTCCTCCTCCTCACCCCCCAGGCCTCCTCACCTCCTCCTCCTCACCCACCAGGCCTCTTCACCTCCTCCTCCTGACACCTCTCACCTCCTCCTCCTCACCTCCTCCTCCTCACCCCCCAGGCCTCCTCACCTCCTCCTCCCCCTGATGTCTCTGCACGTGTACCTTCTCCCAACACAAATCCCTGTGTCACTTAGCAGGACCCAGCCTAACCATTTAGTCATCTCTCGGCCCTGATTCTGCCCTGGGGCTGTGGTGTGTGTGTCCGCCTCTCCTCCTTGTATTCTGTGCGGAACCAGTGTGTGCGCCCTCAGACTTCCCATGTTAGAGCCCCCACCCCCACCCCAGCAAAGCTGTCTCTGTATCTCCCAAGTGTCATGATTATGTTTTCTGTCCCCGATAATACCTGCTGTGGGAGCGTCGGTTAGTCTTATTAATGCGGTATGGAACTGTGGTTAAGTACAATAATTCACGTATCTTTTAGCAAAGAAGTACTTTACATGAAATGGTGAGGCACCTTGAACCCTGTTAAAGTGCCCCAAAATCAGAGTGTGTGTGTGGAAACTAAGGAGGCAAAGTGCAGGGTTACTGATGCGCTGGGGGGCACATGGACGTCCAGGGAGGTCTTCCTCTGATCCAGTTCAGTTGCAGAGCCTCCGTGCTGGAAGCCGGCACTCTGGTGCCGCGGGCTAAAGCCCTGGCCTGCAGTGCCGGCATCCCAGACGGGTGCTGGTTCGAGTCCCAGCTGCTCCACTTCTGACCCAGCTCTCTGCTGTGGCCTGGGAAAGCAGTGGAGGATGGTCCAAGTGCTTGGGCCCCTGCACCCGCGTGGGAGACCTGGAAGAAGCTCCTGGCTCCAGATTGGCTCAGCTTGTCACTGCAGCTATTTAGGGAGTGAACCGGTGGATGGAAGATATGTCTGTCTGTCTGTCTCTCTTTATCTCTACCTATCTCTGTCTTCCAAATAAATAAAAATAAATCTTTAAAGAAAAAGAAAACTTGGTGACAGAGTGAATATGCGGGACCTGAGTGCCCTCCTGTGGAGCTCTGGCCCCTACAGGGCTTCCCAGACTGAAAACCTGTGAAGGTTCACTGAGTGGTCGCTGAGGGATAGTGGCAACCGGGAGGAGCACCGCGCACCCGCCTTGGAGCCCTGCGGGGCGCTACCTGAGGTCCTGTTGAGAGGCTGGAAGTAGGCTTCTCGCCAGCAGTACAGCAGGACGACGCCGCACCAGGTCCCGAGCCAGTTCACCATCATGGTCCCCCGGCGAGGAGCAAGGCTTCTCTCGAAGGCCTTAGCTTCGCCAGCCTCGGTCTCCAGGATACATGGAATGTCAGGCACCTGTGAGGTCAAAGCAGGAAGTGAGCTGGGCCCTGCCCAGGGACCTGTGACGTCAGACAAGGCAGTGAGCTGGGGTCCGGCCCAGGGACCTGTGACGTCAGACCAGGCAGTGAGCTGGGGCCCTGCCCAGGGACCTGTGACGTCAGACCAGGCAGTGAGCTGGGCCCTGCCCAGGGACCTGTGACGTCAGACCAGGCAGTGAGCTGGGGTCCGGCCCAGGGACCTGTGACGTCAAACCAGGCAGTGAGCTGGGGTCCTGCCCAGGGACCTGTGACGTCAGACCAGGCAGTGAGCTGGGGCCCTGCCCAGGCACCTGTGACGCCAGACCAGGCAGTGAGCTGGGCCCTGCCCAGGGACCTGTGACGTCAGACCAGGAAGTGAGCTGGGCCCTGCCCAGGCACCTGTGACACCAGACCAGGCAGTGAGCTGGGCCCTGCCCAGGGACCTGTGACGTCAGACCAGGCAGTGAGCTGGGGCCCTGCCAAGGGACCTGTGACACCAGACCAGGCAGTGAGCTGGGGCCCTGCCCAGGCACCTGTGACGTCAGACCAGGCAGTGAGCTGGGGTCCTGCCCAGGGACCTGTGACGTCAGACCAGGCAGTGAGCTGGGGTCCGGCCCAGGGACCTGTGACGTCAGACCAGGCAGTGAGCTGGGGTCCTGCCCAGGGACCTGTGACGTCAGACCAGGCAGTGAGCTGGGGCCCTGCCCAGGCACCTGTGACGTCAGACCAGGCAGTGAGCTGGGCCCTGCCCAGGGACCTGTGACACCAGACCAGGCAGTGAGCTGGGCCCTGCCCAGGGACCTGTGACGCCAGACCAGGCAGTGAGCTGGGGCCCTGCCCAGGGACCTGTGACGTCAGACCAGGCAGTGAGCTGGGGCCCTGCCCAGGGACCTGTGACGTCAGACCAGGCAGTGAGCTGGGCCCTGCCCAGGGACCTGTGACGCCAGACCAGGCAGTGAGCTGGGGCCCTGCCCAGGGACCTGTGAGGTCAGACCAGGCAGTGAGCTGGGGCCCTGCCCAGGGACCTGTGACGCCAGACCAGGCAGTGAGCTGGGGTCCGGCCCAGGGACCTGTGACGTCAGACCAGGCAGTGAGCTGGGGTCCGGCCCAGGGACCTGTGACGTCAGACCAGGCAGTGAGCTGGGCCCTGCCCAGGGACCTGTGACGTCAGACCAGGCAGTGAGCTGGGCCCTGCCCAGGGACCTGTGACACCAGACCAGGCAGTGAGCTGGGCCCTGCCCAGGGACATGTGACGTCAGACCAGGCAGTGAGCTGGGGCCCTGCCCAGGGACCTGTGACACCAGACCAGGCAGTGAGCTGGGCCCTGCCCAGGCACCTGTGACGTCAGACCAGGCAGTGAGCTGGGCCCTGCCCAGGCACCTGTGATGTCAGACCAGGCTGTGAGCTGGGGCCCTGCCCAGGGACCTGTGACATCAGACCAGGCAGTGAGCTGGGCCCTGCCCAGGCACCTGTGAAGTCAGACCAGGCAGTGAGCTGGGGCCCTGCCCAGGGACCTGTGACACCAGACCAGGCAGTGAGCTGGGGCCCCGCCCAGGCACCTGTGACGTCAGACCAGGCAGTGAGCTGGGCCCTGCCCAGGGACCTGTGACACCAGACCAGGCAGTGAGCTGGGGCCCCGCCCAGGGACCTGTGATGTCAGACCAGGCAGTGAGCTGGGGTCTGGCCCAGGGACCTGTGACACCAGACCAGGCAGTGAGCTGGGCCCTGCCCAGGCACCTGTGACGTCAGACCAGGCAGTGAGCTGGGCCCTGCCCAGGGACCTGTGACGTCAGACCAGGCAGTGAGCTGGGCCCTGCCCAGGGACCTGTGAGGTCAGACCAGGCAGTGAGCTGGGCCCTGCCCAGGGACCTGTGAGGTCAGACCAGGCAGTGAGCTGGGCCCTGCCCAGGGACCTGTGACGCCAGACCAGGCAGTGAGCTGGGGCCCCGCCCAGGGACCTGTGAGGTCAGACCAGGCAGTGAGCTGGGGCCCTGCCCAGGGACCTGTGACGTCAGACCAGGCAGTGAGCTGGGGCCCTGCCCAGGGACCTGTGACGTCAGACCAGGCAGTGAGCTGGGCCCTGCCCAGGCACCTGTGACGTCAGACCAGGCTGTGAGCTGGGGCCCTGCCCAGGGACCTGTGACGTCAGACCAGGCTGTGAGCTGGGGCCCTGCCCAGGGACCTGTGACGTCAGACCAGGCAGTGAGCTGGGGCCCTGCCCAGGAACCTGTGACGTCAGACCAGGCAGTGAGCTGGGGCCCTGCCCAGGGACCTGTGACGCCAGACTAGGCAGTGAGCTGGGCCCCCGCCCAGGCACCTGTGACACCAGACCAGGCAGTGAGCTGGGCCCTGCCCAGGCACCTGTGACGTCAGACCAGGCAGTGAGCTGGGGCCCTGCCCAGGGACCTGTGACGTCAGACCAGGCAGTGAGCTGGGCCCTGCCCAGGCACCTGTGACGTCAGACCAGGCAGTGAGCTGGGGCCCCGCCCAGGCACCTGTGACGTCAGACCAGGCAGTGAGCTGGGGCCCTGCCCAGGGACCTGTGACGTCAGACCAGGCAGTGAGCTGGGGCCCTGCCCAGGGACCTGTGAGGTCAGACCAGGCAGTGAGCTGGGGCCCTGCCCAGGGACCTGTGAGGTCAGACCAGGCAGTGAGCTGGGGCCCTGCCCAGGGACCTGTGAGGTCAGACCAGGCAGTGAGCTGGGGCCCTGCCCAGGGACCTGTGACGCCAGACCAGGCAGTGAGCTGGGGCCCTGCCCAGGGACCTGTGACGTCAGACCAGGCAGTGAGCTGGGGCCCTGCCCAGGGACCTGTGATGTCAGACCAGGCAGTGAGCTGGGGCCCTGCCCAGGGACCTGTGACGTCAGACCAGGCAGTGAGCTGGGCCCTGCCCAGGGACCTGTGACGTCAGACCAGGCAGTGAGCTGGGGTCCTGCCCAGGGACCTGTGAGGTCAGACCAGGCAGTGAGCTGGGGCCCTGCCCAGGGACCTGTGAGGTCAGACCAGGCAGTGAGCTGGGGTCCTGCCCAGGGACCTGTGACGTCAGACCAGGCAGTGAGCTGGGCCCTGCCCAGGGACCTGTGACGTCAGACCAGGCAGTGAGCTGGGCCCTGCCCAGGGACCTGTGACGCCAGACCAGGCAGTGAGCTGGGCCCTGCCCAGGGACCTGTGACTCCAGACCAGGCAGTGAGCTGGGCCCTGCCCAGGGACCTGTGACGTCAGACCAGGCAGTGAGCTGGGCCCTGCCCAGGGACCTGTGACGTCAGACCAGGCAGTGAGCTGGGGCCCTGCCCAGGCACCAGTGACGTCAGACCAGGCAGTGAGCTGGGCCCTGCCCAGGGACCTGTGACGTCAGATCAGGCAGTGAGCTGGGCCCTGCCCAGGGACCTGTGACGTCAGACCAGGCAGTGAGCTGGGGTCCTGCCCAGGGACCTGTGACGTCAGACCAGGCAGAGAGCTGGGGCCCTGCCCAGGGACCTGTGAGGTCAGACCAGGCAGTGAGCTGGGCCCTGCCCAGGGACCTGTGACGTCAGATCAGGCAGTGAGCTGGGCCCTGCCCAGGGACCTGTGACGTCAGACCAGGCAGTGAGCTGGGCCCTGCCCAGGGACCTGTGAGGTCAGACCAGGCAGTGAGCTGGGGCCCTGCCCAGGGACCTGTGACGTCAGACCAGGCAGTGAGCTGGGCCCTGCCCAGGGACCTGTGACACCAGACCAGGCAGTGAGCTGGGGCCCTGCCCAGACACCTGTGACGTCAGACCAGGCAGTGAGCTGGGCCCTGCCCAGGGACCTGTGACGCCAGACCAGGCAGTGAGCTGGGGCCCTGCCCAGGGACCTGTGACGTCAGACCAGGCAGTGAGCTGGGGCCCTTCCCAGGGACCTGTGACGCCAGACCAGGCAGTGAGCTGGGGCCCTTCCCAGGGACCTGTGACGCCAGACCAGGCAGTGAGCTGGGGCCCTGCCCAGGGACCTGTGACGTCAGACCAGGCAGTGAGCTGGGGTCCTGCCCAGGCACCTGTGATGTCAGACCAGGCAGTGAGCTGGGCCCTGCCCAGGGACCTGTGACGTCAGACCAGGCAGTGAGCTGGGGCCGTGTCCAGTGGGGGCTCATGTCCAGGTCTGTGACTGAGGAGGAGGAAGTGGTTGGAGGTCTTCAGGGAGCAGATCCCCCCACCCTCTCCCACTGCCTGACCCGCGGCCTCCCCAGTCCTGAGGACCCGGAGACTGAAGGGAGACTGTGGATCAGGACTCAGCGCCTGGCCAATCCCAGCACAGGCTGCTGCAGTGCACGGAGCAGTACCGGATGTGTCCTGGGCGGCCCCTGGTGCCTGGGCCCACAGACACCCCATCCTGGTATCCAGGGTCATGAGCACAGGGACTGATGGCTGCTGGTCTCCTGCATGGAGAGCAGGGACTGATGGCCCAGGCCCCGCCCCCATCCCAGCAGCCCCAGGTCATGAGCACAGACTGATGGCCCCAGGCCCCGCCCCCATCCCAGCAGCCCCAGGTCATGAGCACAGACTGTTGGCCCAGGCCCCGCCCCCATCCTGGTATCCAGGTCATGAGCACAGACTGATGGCCCAGGCCCCGCCCCCATCCTGGCAGCCCCAGGTCATGAGCACAGACTGATGGCCCAGGCCCCGCCCCTCATCCTGGTATTCCAGGGTCATGAGCACAGACTGATGGCCCCAGGCCCCGCCCCGATCCCGGCAGCCCAGGTCATGAGCACAGACTGTTGGCCCCAGGCCCCGCCCCGATCCCAGCAGCCCAGGTCATGAGCACAGACTGATGGCCCCAGGCCCCGCCCCGATCCCGGCAGCCCCAGGTCATGAGCACAGACTGTTGGCCCCAGGTCCCGCCCCTCCCCTTGCTCCACTCTCCCTGGCATCAGCCTCGCTGTAAGATGGAGAACATGACCACTTTCTGCACCCCTGCCCCCAGTGCCCCTGAGGCCGCTGACGTGGCCGCTTGCCAGGGATCTTGGACTGAGTTTTTAGTACTGATCTGGGGACCCAAGGCACGATTTTTGTTTGGGTTTTCTTCCTGGTCCGTGTGCAGGTAACCAGGTCACCAGTCCACCTCGAGGGGTGAGGCGGACCCTGTGCCTTCTGCAGTGTCCACGAAGACATGCTGGGCACAGAGACACGAGCAGGGCCACGGTGGCTCCAGGCCCCCGCTGGGCTCTGTAACGGGCTGAACAAGATGCGCTCGCTCTGTTCCGAGCGTGGTCCTGGTCAGTGCAAAGCTCTGAACACATGAACGGACATGGCCAGGCTGTGCACAGGGAGAGCCCTGGCCCGCCGCTAGATGGCAGTGGGCAGTGAGCAGAGGTCCTGCTAGACTGACCCGGCTGGATTCCTGCTGAAGGCGGTGGGGCTCGGGCAGCGAGGGTGGGGGCGATGGGGCGAGGACAAGGCCTCGTGGGGAGGAGCTCAGCTTGGGCCCGGTCAGGGAGGTGGCCCCCGTGAGATTCCTGGGAGCTTGGCGACTGAGCACCATCCACGGGTGCCAGTGCTCACGTCCCTGGGCGGGCTCTGTGGGGGCTGCGTGGTAGGCGTGGCCACCCGCAGGCATCTGGGGCCCGCAGGCGGCTGGGATGTTGGCTGAGTTGGTACCGAACCTCTCGCCAACTCTGGGGAGATTGGTGACCAAAAGTTTTTCTCTAGTCTCTGCTGCCTTTGGAAAATAAGATTTTTGTCTGCCCTTCCCTGGCATTTGTGAAAACTGGAGTTTACCAGATCCCTGTATTGACACAGGCTGCTTTAAATAAAGGCTTCAAAAATATTTATTTTCACTTTATTTGCGAGACAGAAAGAGGGAGAGACAAACAGGTCTTCCAACCGCTGGTTCGCTCCCCAGGTGCCCACAGCTGGGCCAGGCTGAAGCCTGGAGCCTGGAACTCATCGGGGTCTGCCACATCATCTCTGCCTCCCAGGTGCCTTAGCAGGGAGCTGGGTGGGAAGCCGTCTCGCCAGGGTGGCAGGGACCAGGACCCAGCTCCCTGATACGGAGGCCGCGCCCTGCGTGGCGGCTTACCTGCGTGGAGACTCGAGCCCGCCTGTCTGCACAGCGGTCGGTCGTAGCAGCGGCGGCCCCATGGATGCCAGCTCCCGAGGCGGTCCTGGTCCCGTGTCGGAAATGCCTCCTCTGAGGTCGCGTGCCAGCAGGGAGAGGGAAGGGCCCTTCGCGGCTCTTTTGCAGAGGTTTCCTTTGTCGTTCAGTGAGTGGCAGTGTGGAGCGACGAGGGGTCCGTTTCTCTGCTGTCCTCCGCCTCGGGCACCTGCTCTGGTTTGATGGGGCTGCCGGAGGAGCGGAGCGGCGACAGTTGCCCAGGGACAGCGCTGCCCCGGCCGGCCGCAGGTCTGCCGTCACGGCGCTCTCGTCTGCTCTTGAGGCCACACGTCCCAACGGGGCCCGGGGGGCTCCTCCGGGGGGCTCTGCGGCCTCTCTGCCTGGCCTTGGCCCATCTCTCGGCATTGCCACGTTCCGTGGTCCTGTTCATGAGCTCCTGTTTCCACCCCAGAGTCCGTCTTTTCTCCCCTCGTCCTCCTCCTGCCCCCCCGCCCCTGCTTGTAGAGACTGAGGTTACATGGGGCCTTGCGATGGTTAATTTTTTGTGTCAACTTGACTGGGCCATGATGCCCACCATTTGCTCAAAAATTGTTCCAGATGTTTCTGTGATGAGATTTCCATTTAAATTGATGGACTTTGAGGAAGGCAGATTGTGCTGAATAATGCGAGTGGGACTTGTCCAATGGGCTGCAGGCTTGGGCGGGACGAAGCCCGACCTCTCGCTGGCAGAGATGTCTGCGGCTGTGGCCTTTGGCACCAACTGCCCCAGGAGGACCTCCCTGACTGCAGCCCGCTGCCCACCCACAGAGTCCAGGATTTCACCTGCGCAGTGGCTTGAGCCAGTCCCTCAGTCTCTCTCTCCATATACATAAGTGTGCGTCAAACATTTCGTGGAAAATGAAATTAAAAGATATGATTATTTTGACATAAAAATTGAAATTCATGCAGTTTCTTCCTTGATATGCATTTTAATAAAGTTTTTGAAGACTTCATATGCAAGGATTTAAAAAATTTTGCAGCAAAATAAATTTTATATATATATATATTTTTTTTTTTTGACAAGCAGAGTTAGATAGAGAGAGAGAGAGAGAGAGAGAGACAGAGAGAAAGGTCTTCCTTCTGTTGGTTCACCCCGCAGTGGCCACTGCGGCTGGCGCGCTGTGCCAATCCGAACCCAGGAGCCAGGTGTCTCTTCCTGGTCTCCCATGCGGGTGCAGGGCCCAAGCACTTGGGCCATCCTCTACTGCCTTCCCGGGCCACAACAGAGAGCTGGACTGGAAGAGGAGCAACCAGGACAGAACCGGAGCCCCAACGGGGACTAGAACCCGGTGTGCCGGCGCCACAGGCGGAGGATTAGCCTAGTGAGCCATGGTGCCGGCCTAAATTTTATATTTTAAAAAACATGTATTTACTTTTTTTTCATCTACTTGAAAGGCAGAGAGAGAGAGAGAGAGAGAGAGACTCTTTCTTTGATCATTGATTTACTCCCCACATGCCAGCAA